TGCATTAATGGTCTGACTCCTGCGATCGAAAAAAACCGGCTAAAACCGCGATTTTTGAGTTCTTTTTTTTCGCGGTTTTTTTGGGATTTTTTTTTCGTGGGTCCTGTGCAATGATAGAAAGAAAAAGAAAAAGAAAATCGTGATATTATGCACATTTTTTCAACCATCGATTAACTTTCCCTCTTTATTATTCAAGATGCCTCACCGACAAGTGATAGAACAAGCAAAAGAATAATAACATTTTTGTGGGAAAAAAACCCAGTCTGTTTCATTAATATATGATCATGCTTTATCCAACGTATACGGTTGAATGCACGCCAGCCAAACATTATTTCGATACACATATAAGCAAAATATTACTTTCATTTTCTTTATTAAACAACATTGATACATTACCAAGGTATTATATTCGTTATTACAATATTCGTCAATATCGTTCTATTAAAAGAAGCAGACGTAAGTCTTTTGATATTGCAGTCTCTCTCGTAAGCCCTTTTAGTCTATCGGTATTCAGAAGACTTTTCTATCCTGAAATGATACCAGTAATTAAGTATAGTTTATGTGAGTTTTATACTGTGTCTAAATGTATGAAAAGAAGAAAATGAAAGTAAATATTGGTAATTTTTGCCAGTTTTATAAAAATAGTGAAGAAGCTAGTCACTTTTTCTTGTTAATGCAGACTGTTTGCAGCTATTCGTGCATTTAATGAAAAGGATAGCAATTAATATGTTATTGAAATCGATCCTGATCATTTGATAGTTATAAGAAAACCTTGGTGATTTATATCTGTGCTCTCTATGATTCAGACAGACACTGGAACTATTTCTTGTACATAGATAGCTATTCGCATGTCTTGAAAAACTGCAAAGAAAAACAGATTAGGGAAATCTGGACAATATTCTTTCCAACTCGGAACGACTGAAATGATTCGGATCTTAAAACCTTACATATTCTTATTAAAATACTATTGTGATTTCACCAAGAGGTGACTTCCATGTTAAATCTTCGTATCGTAGCAGTTTTAAAAGGCATACGAAAAGCCATCTATGTTCAAGAAAACACAACGGTGTCTGTTGAAACGACAGACAAAATGGATAAAAATTGGCTAGATGTTCTAACAACTTTCCAACAGAACTGATTTTGAAAGTATATTTCTTCCACTTCTTTCATATGGTTATATCCATGCTCTGAAGAGATCTATCCATAGATGAAGCATAGTCTTAAAATGAGATATGCCAATAGATTGTTATTTATTATTATTATTCTGATAAAAAACCAATTTGTTAACCTTGTGCATATTTGGAGAATCTGCAGCTAGCTCCTGAAACTTGCAATGTGATAATTTGAAGAAAGTCATAAAAAATCGATGTATAAAAATGATGCCATATCTTTTATGTTAAATGAACAGTAAACAAACTGTTTTTATAAGTACTCTCATGTAAAACGAATGACTAAGGATTCATATTGCACCAATTCTGCAGATTTCGCTCACGAAAGATAAGTTAAAAGGCTGAATTTTTTTGAGAATGCTACACTTATATTTCTTTAATGAGACATTGCAATAAAACTCTCATTTTCCAGTTACAGAATCAAATTAAGGAAATCAGATATAGTTCACAATGACGCTTTGACTCAGCTATTGCCATTCAGAATCCTCGTGCTACAGGTCTAATAGTTTTTCAAATGAAGCCGAATTTGAGATAAGGCGAAGGAGAGATCTATGAGGGTTTAAAGTTATCCTGTTTTACTTTTCTATACATTATGTATTCCCTTTAGTCCCTCTACAGCTTTTAGTCCTTTTGCTTCCTTTAGTGCTTTAAGTCGCTTTAGCCCTCTTAATCCTTTTACTCCCTTTAGTCCCTTTAGTGCCTTTAGTTCCTTCAGTGCTTTTAGTTCCTTCAGTGCTTTTAGTTCCTTTAGTCTGTTTGGCCCTTTGAGTGAGAACTGAAAGCACTAAGGGCACTAAAAGGATTAAAGGGATGAAAGGGACTAAAAGGATTAAAGGGATGAAAGGGACTAAAAGGACTAGAAGGACTAAAAGAATTAAAGAGACTAAAGGGAGTAAAAGCACTGAAGGAACTAAAGGGACTAAAGGAACCAAAAGGACTAAAAGGACTAAAGGGAATAAGGGACTGAAGGGACTAAACGGACTAAGGGCACTAAAATGACTAAAGCAACGAAAAGGACTAAAGAAAGTAAAGAGACTGAAGGGACTAAAGGCACTAAAGGGACTAAAAGGACTAAAGGGACTAAAGGTACTAAAGGGACATAACGAACAAAAGGGACTTAAGGGACTAAAGGGACTAAAAGGACGAAAGGAACTTAAAGGACTAATGGGAGTAAAAGGACTAAAGGGACTAAAGGAACTAAAGGGACTTAAAGACTGATTATCATTTATAAAGAAGTAAAACTTGATATACAAAAATAGAACTTTTGTATAAAAAAGTAAAACAGGATAACTTTAATTTCTGGTGGACCTATGGATTGCCTAGATATTCTATCAAAAAGCCTGCAGAATGTTTTTGTGACTCCTGAAGGGAGATCAAAGTTTGATTCACTAGACTAATGAGAAGCAGCACAAAATCTACTACAAAACATATAGCAATAAGGTTTTATTGTTACCATAATGTAACTGACTTGAGTTTCCTTTATAATTTAGCTTCCAGTCGTGGTATACCTAGATTTAGCAAAGTTTTATGTACAAACAACATAAATGTGGAATGAATGGCTGTTTACCGAGAATCCATATAAAACAAATTTACCTAACACAAAGTACCCTATTCGATACAGTTATTACTGCTCTCCTTGAATCTAAAGCTTTCTAATTTTCATAGAAATTGACACCTGCATAAAAAGTTATCTACATAGATCGATGGAGTAGAGGCTTCTCTATCACACTGTATGTCCGGTTTTCCGAATGAATTCTATTTTCGAAGCAAATGATGAGCATACATTTTCGTATGTTTTAGCTATTGAATGGAAAAGAGCAGCTGATGAGGTTCAAGTAAAAATAATTTAAATTTACCTTGAAAAATAGATGAGCTTGAAGATCTTTCGATGTTTCACACGAATCTGGAGTTGAAATTTTGACTAGAAAATACATTTAGATTCATATTCGCCAAAATAATGAAAACGATTACATTTAAAGTCAGAGAAAATAATTAAAAATGCTTATTTTCGTACTTTGTGAATTTCTCTCTAATTGTACGATCAATGATAGACTTTTTTTTTGTAATCGAAATGATCAGCGTAAAAGTTCTATCAAATGATGCTATTTGAAGATTAATCGGAGATCACACATGTTACGTCAGAAGAAACTTCATAGAATTACCCAAATACTTTATAAAATGTAGATCCATGAAAAGTTTAGCTGACAATAAAGATCTCACTTGACTCGACTGCTATTTTGAAGTCATGAGAAGTATCAAGTTAAAAATAATTTACATCAAGACCAATTCATTTTTGATATGACTTATCCAATATTTAAGCTGAAAAATTTGACGAACTATATTATATATAGCAGTTCTCCTTTACTTTCAACAGTTTTTAATCATACATTTCTAAAGGAAGCCAAAAAAGTATCGCCGAAATATAGCAGAAATATGACAGTAAGAAAGTTTCTAATCAATCACGTTAGCTGTTTTCCCCATATGAATAATTAGTGACTGTCAATAGTGTGTTAATTCTGCTTGCAAATAGCTCGTCTATTGATGTGTGGAAATTTTCTTTATGACTGGTCTACACTTCTTTGGTCTTTTTAGAAAATTTATCATGTTCACATACATTCGTTGACTGTTCCTTTAACTATATCTGAGAGTACTAGATCCATAGCAGAGATCGGCGAGTCAGCCAAAACTGCGACTCGCCACTACCTTGCCATATTGACATGGTATCTATTGCTGCCTCGCCTCGTCTCACCTACGGCCTATTATAAAAACGGTTTTTTTAAAGAAGTTCTTCGGCCAACCACAATAATCACTATGTAGCTTATGTCTTTTCATCAAGTTAAGTACATTTCATATATATAGATAAGTGCAAAAAATAAAAATACAAAATGAGATACAAATAAGTAATGCTGTGATAATGGTTCAATGAGTTTTTGTCGAAATTCAGATCTATATTGGTTAGCTAATATTTCGACATGAGACGAAATAGCATTAGCACCAAAAAATATGTTATCGACAAGAATTTTCCATACTTTGCCTCTATAGAGTAAAATAAGAGAATGAAAAAAGAATATTTAAGGATAGGTTGTGTAATACCCAAAGAAATACATTCTCGAATTAAAGATCAAAGTCCTTAATCAATGACGGTAGAGTATAGTCTGATACCCATACAGAACCGATCTACAAGAAATTTTTCTATTTTGCTACTTTTTTCTTCACTTATTTTAATCGACACTGGGTGGTTACAGTCGAAAGAAAACATATTTGTTTTAAAGGTGATGAGGACGTTGTATCAGTGTTTTGAATATCTTATTGGTGAACATTCACAAATGTACTTGTTCATTTGAGAGATGCTATTATTATTTTAAGAATATGTTGCATAGAGATGTTTACATGAGACAAGATTGTTTAACTTTGTCACCGCAACACCTTAATTATCAGTAACAGCCGGAAAACCAAACCGAGACTGGCAACTTGTCGTATATTTCTTTCTATTTTCGACTATTGTTAGATTTCTATCTTTACGCATGAATCAATTATAAATCCTTCTACAGGACATTCGAGAAATATCTGATAATGTATGATCAGCATTGCGAGAATCTGAACAAGTTTCTTTTGTTATATCGACAATATGATTAGAAGAAGAACAATAGTTTACCGAGCAATAATACGTATCTAGATTAAAACTTCTATCGTAAAAATTTCTACTAGCTAACATAGCAAAGGTCACATTAGTTAAATTCACAATGGTAATTGTGTAAGGCTCCAAACAGATTGAATTAATTTAAAGTCAATTAACCAATGTTATTGACGTCGTTACATGGTAACACCAATCATGTTTCTTAATTCACTTTGAATTGAGTCAGTCTGTTCGAGATCTAAATCAAATTATTCGACAGACCAAATAGATAACTATGTTTATGTAAATATTCATATTCATTTATTGTCTTGATTAGTTTTAACTTCGTTGCCAATAGAAATTCTTTAAGAAGGGAACAATAAAATCAGACGATAATATTAACGAACTGCCATTTACTCACTAATAATTACATTTTAAGTAGACGAATTGACTCAGCGAGTCTCTAAATCAACTTGCAAGCGTCACGATGCATAAAATTCTGTCTCGTCTCACCTCATCCTGAGGCTAGGAAACTTGACGAGTCTGTGATCTCTGGTCTGTAACTCTTTATTCATACGGTATGTATGATGGCATAGTTCCTTTCAGTAGAGGGTTAGTGACGTTTACGTCGCGTTACTTGTTATAAATATGAAATTGATACTCTTCACTAACTTGTGCTCATCAAATCAATTGATAATGGTTTGTGGGTGTAGATCTGAAGGAATACAATAGTTAGATCCACACCACACACCCTTATAAATAACGCAGTTTCTAATTTTTGCCTAGATAAACAATTATGTGATAGATATCAAGGATGATATTTTGATTTTCCACAACTGTCACATGAATAATACAAAAACATGAACTGATGGAGTTCTAGTTTTCCGTAATGATCCATTTGAATCTTTCTAAGTTCATTGAGATACCTACCAGGTCGTTAGTATCTGCTGTAGATATAAAGAATGTGTAGAACGTGCTTATTTGTTCATTTCATCAATGATTAGACTAATAATAATAAATTATGAAAATGCTATACAAAAAGAAAATGAATACCAAGCGAATAGCGACAAGGCAGATAAAAAAAAGAGTGACAGCAATAAAAAAGAAAACAAAGTTTCCATACGAAATGTAGGAATTAAAATGACGTTGTATTTTCTGACAATCGATTATTGTTACAAAATAACTATTGTCTTTAAGGAACTTTACACCTTGTTTATTTTGTTTTAGTATAATGCAAATAAAGAAGGCGTTTGAGTTCTATATTTTAGCGCCAAAGAAGCTGCTTTGACAAGCTTTTCTTTACTTATTTCCAGATTTATTGTTGCATATTTGTTTCAATTCTTTATTATCAAATATGGCGACAGGTGGTACTGAAGAAGTTGCGCAGCGCGCCCGTCGTATCATGGACATAACTGAAGAACCACTCGAAAAACTCGATCCGATCGTTGGCTATGTAGATACACCAAACATATCACTTGAAAATGCTGTTGAATCACTAGTGCCTTTCCTGCCCGCCGTTCTAAAATGTGCAAGATCTGCTAAAAAACAATGTAAAAAACCACCAGCCGATGGATTGACAATTGATGAATCTGCTTCGATTATGCTGTATTCGATGAGTTGGAAACCAGACGACGAATGTCTGTATATTGCTTTAAACGCCACACTTCGATCAGAAAAAAGAGACAAACTCGAGCCATGGTTTCCTTACCTAAATCTTTTTCTTACTGCACTTGAACGTCTTTCATCTAAACGTCGAACTATATATCGAGGAGTCAAATTAGATTTGCATGAGAAGTATTCAAAAGGCAAGATAATAGATTGGTGGGCATTTTCTTCTTGTACAACCTCAATCGGTGTCTTGCAAGCGGAACTTTTCCTGGGAAAAACCGGTGAAAGGACAATGTTTACTATTGAATGTGATTCAGGCAAAGACATTCGAAAACATTCCTTACTTCCAGCAGAAGATGAAGTACTACTTCCAGCTGCTACTCGCTTCAAAGTTGTTGACTGCCTCGATCATGGTCATGGTCTACATATGATTCAGCTCGAAGAAATCAAGCCACCTCAACCTCTCTTACAACTACTGTTTGTTCCAAGTTCAACCAATTCTTCAATTGGTAAGAGAAAGATAATACCCTTTGAGTTCTATATGTTTCATTGATATATTATTAAGAGGAAATTTTATTTTGTTGAATTAAAACGAAAGAAAATGGCTTTTTTTCCGTAAGAAGACTACACAGGAAAAAGAATAGAGATGTTGAATTTTGCAGTATTTTAGAAATTTTCTCTTTTGACCTATATTAATCATATGAATGATCATTTTTATTGTTTGTTGAGTACGTTAAGTGTATTTGGTTTCATCGCTGAATATTGAATAATATGTATGAATGTCTCTAGTTTTGATACAAAATGTGTTCATCGGCTTCATTATGCTACAACCAAATAAAAATTCTAGTCGCACATAATATCCCTAAAACATTCTGGTAGGTTTTTGTAACTTTTTTTGTATTGACTGATTTTGATGTGATGTATAATCTAAAAAACTGCCTGGACTTGCTGTTAATTATTCTCATCATACATTCGATAATCCTAAGCTTTCAACTAAAGAGAAAATTCTCGACGAGATACAATACCGATAGAAAATAGAAAAAATAATGACATGCATTATTTTTCTCGGACTTACTGGAAGTGAGAACTGAAAAGTCTCTTAGTACTAAACAAGAAAATGTTATCAGTCTTTTTCATTTTGGATGCGATTGTAAATGTGGATGTCCGAAAATAGAAGACTCACACTCTCTATTAAGAAAGAATGAAACTCTAGGAACGCTAACTCTAACTGTCTTAGAGAAAAAATAATTGCTCTTCTGATTAAAATGAACTAACATTGCATGGATGCTATTTCTATTACAGTTTAATGAAAACAAATGAATATTTTTATTCAGTTGAATCAAAGTGAATACGCACTATTTCTTTCTCTATTAAATGAAAGAAATGATTTTTGGATAAAGATTGGCTGGAATTAAAACGCAAGTACCTGGCCATGAATCAAATGAGGAAAACCTTTTGGTCTATAATGAACCGATGAACAATGAAGAATGAGTAGCTTTATCTGAATGAAAATGAAAAATTCTTTTTCTTAATCAGAATAGATAAAATAAAAAGAGCGAGTTTGTTGAATTTAAGTTCAACAAAGAAAAGCTAGTATGAATAGTTAAACTTCATATATAAGGTGACCAGTGTGAAATGCAATATAAGAAAGATAAGTTGGCTGTCTCACAATAGATGTTGAAGTAAAGGTTACTGGAAGTCAACTACTGAAAAATAAGTTTGTTTTGGTTTCTATTGATATATTAATTTATAATTGTTCTAGTTTTATAGTGTAACAAATCTGTGAGAAAGATAGTATTATAGAGATGTACGGATACATTATCCAAAGTCAAAGCTATCGCAAAATATTGGATGAATTCCGTCGATACTTTAAAATATGAAAGATGAAAATAACCTATCATAGACTGTTTCCATCATTAGATAGATTGATTCCTGCCAAGAATATAAAATGGCATCATATACAGGAGAATAAGGTTCTGTTAGATGAATATGGAGCGAAACATTCTTCAAAGGTTTCCATGGGCACACAAGAAATGTACTTTTCATGGGAATCGTTAGATAATCTGCCTTTAATCATAGAAAAATAATCTCTTCTGATGGAAACCTAGAATTATAAATTCTTGAATAGACGTCATCTACCCTTACTTTCATAAATTCTTGGAGAGTATATGACATCCACATAAATTCTTCGAGGATTTATAGAAAATATTTACAATACAAAACTTGATTATTCTACGGCTTGTTTTGTAGTATTTGTGTGCACCAATTAGCGGTAATACAACATTATCTGTATAATCATGTATAATTTGTCGGATAGTTTTGCATATGATGACAGCGAAGTCAAAGCAATCGTTGAATGAATGCAAAACGTTGTTTGAAGGCGTCCGATAAGTTCTGATCGAACGCATTCGGCCTAAGTTATAAATATGTCATCGTAAAGATCGCTAATTTTCTGACATTGAATAGGAGCAGATATAGTCCGTTGTATTTTTTGAGTCTTATCCTTTTTCCTGAAATAGATCTGACCGGATTGATTCAAATAAGGTGACCAAAAGTGATAGAAAATACTGTAAGTTATCGGATTTTAACAGTCAATCCTGAGTTCAATGCGATTAAATTTTTAAAAAGTTCAATAACACCCTATCAAGTCACTTCAACAGATATAATTTCTATATTTTCGTTCAGCGTGAATGAAAGAAAATCGACTTAAATTCTTTTTTTTTTGAAAGATAAAATTACAACGACACAAACGAAAAATATACATGAGATTAGTACTCTTATCTGGTTAGATTCTAGTATTAATGAATCACTAGAAAGCTGTCGTGATACGATTACTAAGCTACGACGCATTATCAATATAATCAATACTTTTACTGATCCTGATCAATGCATACGGTTTCTCAAGTCTATCGATAATGGAAAAGCTTTAATAATTGTATCAGGTGCTCTTGGTCAACAGGTGGTGCCCATAATTCATGACATGTCTCAACTTGATGCTATATTTATCTTTTGTGGCAATAAGTCTCAACACGAACAATTGTCGAAAGATTGGCCAAAGGTAAAGGTTGTTTCCACCAAAATAAATGAAATTTGTGAACACCTCAAACAAGTTGTCGAACAATATAATGAACAGCCGATTCCTGTAAGTGTTGTTCCGAAAATTGACAGTGCATCAGAGCAGGACTTGAGCCAACTAGAACCGTCCTTTATGTATACACAAATCCTCAAAGAAATTTTTCTAACCATTGATTTCGATCAACACCATTTCAAAAATTTTGTTGACTATTGTCGTCAAATGTACGAGGGCAATGAACATGAACTGGCTACTATCAAAAAATTCGAACATCAATATCATCATCAAACACCTATTTGGTGGTATACTAACGAATGCTTTTTGTACCCGATGCTGAATCGAGCACTTCGAACATTGGATGTCGATATACTTATCAAAATGGGCTTTTATATACGTGATCTTCATCAACACATCAAACAGCTGCACAGGGAACAATTTGGTGGTCACAACCAGCCAAACATGTTTACTGTCTACCGCGGCCAAGGATTGCACAAGACGGATTTTGACAAACTGGTGAAAGCAAAAGGTGGGCTCATATCATTTAATAATATTTTATCCGTCTCCAAAAATCGAAATATTTCACTGGAATTTGCTCGTCATGCTCTTCACAGTTCTGATATGAATGGCGTTCTTTTTCAAATGAAAATCGATCCATCCACTTCTTCTATTCCTTTTGCCTCCGTTGAAGAAGTCAGCTACTTCAAAGAGACCGGCGAAATTATTTTCTCAATGAATACCGTTTTTCGTATCGATAACATCATACAGATCGATAAGGATAATCGTCTCTATGCAGTAGACTTGACGTTGACCAATGATAGCGATCCACAGCTCGATGCTCTTACTTGTCGTATACGAGAGGAGATAGACGGGCCAACAGGATGGCATCGTCTGGGTAAAATCCTTCTTAAACTTGGTCAATTTGATAATGCTGAACAATTATACCAAGTACTACTTAAGCAAGCAACTGTTGACTCTGACAGATCGATTCTGTATCATCAACTTGGAACTATCAAGAATAGTCAAGGAGATTACAAAACAGCACTTCAATTTTGTGAAAAAGCACTCGACATTCGTCAGAAAACTCTTCCGTCAAACCATCCCGATTTGGCTCAATCTTATAATAATATCGGTTTGGTATACCAAAATATGAAAGAATATTCTAAAGCTCTATCTTTCCACGAGAAAGCACTCGACATTCATCAGAAAGCTCTTCCGCCAAACCATCCCGATTTGGCTCAATCTTATAATAATATCGGTTTACTGTACCAAAACATGAAAGAATATCCTAAAGCTCTATCTTTCCACGACAAAGCATTAAGAATTCGCGAGAAAGTTCTTCCTCCAAATCATCCAGATCTCGCAGAATCCTACAACAATATTGGTTCGGTGTATAAAAATCTGAGTCAATATTCCAAGGCACTTTCATTTTGCGAAAGAGCCGTTGAGATTGGAGCGCGTTCTTTATCTGCAAATCATCCAAAACTCCAGCTATGGCAAAAGACACTAGAGCTAATAAAAAAGAATTGTAATTGATTTCTCACGAATAAAAATCGACAAAACTACATCTTTTCTTTAAACAACCAATGCACGAAGGTGTCATGAAAAATTGTGTGTTATTCAATTTCTGGCATATGCTAAGTATAGATGATGTGTTTTCTACCAATATTTCAGCTCGTGGATTATATAAATTATTTTAATGAATATTGCACTGTTTATATATTAAATAAAAAGAATATCTAATAGTTAGTAACAAGTTTTGGATGATATAACAGTTGAATACTTTTAGTTACAGGAACAATAAATTTGAATCTATATCTGACTTTTTAGTAAGTTCGTAGAAGAAGGCAAGAAAAAGAAAAACTAAATCATATTATTAAATGTACTCTTCATCATTCAGCGCTTAACATTCGCTGTTACTATAGTCGTAAGAGATGCCGATACGAATGATCTGAGTATAATTGTGGAGGTGTTGATGTCATATACTTTATTATTGTGTACAGAGATTTAGACACGTACCGTAATATACATGCGAAGAAACTTAAAAACAAAAGTTTGAGAATATAGCTATCAATGTGAGAGAATAGAAGATTCACACCCACATCTAAAATGACACCAAAAATCAAAACGATCTTATCCTAATAATTTTTTAGCAGTATTCTATATACAGTGATCTTGAGATCAATTTCTTTAACATATTTATTAAGTCTTTTTTATTTTTTTATTCATAAACACCAACATGGTATTGACAATAAATAACAAAAATGTTTTTGTTTTTTCTTAACGATGATTTACGGCTTGAATCATCTGTAATTGTTTTTCTTGATTTTTTTCTAATGCACCTCGCATTTCTATTGTTATATCACGTACAAGATGATGAGCTAATGAAATACAATTTTCTATCTAAAATCAATAAAAAACAAAATATAAATTCGTAATGATATCATAAACAAACCTGATCACGACTCAGACAAATTTCTCCA